TAATTTTTTATAATTCGGGCTATTCCTATACTCCGAGCATCTTTAATTCAGTGCTCTTATTAAAGAGCACTGGATTAAAGATGCTCGTTGACACTTAGTAATTAGGTTAGTAATTACGCGTAAAAAACGGACTTCAGCTATTTACGGTAACATATAAAAAAAAGTATCAAAACATCGCTGCCATTGAACAATATTTCAATATTCATTGAGCAATATTCAATGAACTAATATGAATGCAGTTCATCGGAGCATTGCATTCATGTTTTGATAAATGAATACCATATTAATATTTCTGTTTTTCAGTCATTACTATTTTGTGCACGAAATATGCTCAAATGTCTTTTCATAATTTGGAGAATTTACAATCTGTCACGGCGGAATAAATTTTTATTTGAAAAGTGTCTCTTTATTTTTATTGAAAAATAAATTGGAAAAAAGAACACAATTTTTTTTTTTACCAAGCGTTTTTAAAGAGGACGAATTTTCGATATCGTTTGAAAGTCAATCTTATTATTATTACTATATAACTATATTAAGTTATTGCTACTATTTTATTTAAGTATTATTATGATTATTAAGTTATTGATACTATTTTATTGTAGTATTATTATCATTTTTAAGTTAATGTTTTATTAAAATATTATTTTATTGAAATATAATAATTTAAGATGGAAAAACCCAATTCTTGGAAGCAAGCGATTTTAAAGTGGGCGAATTATTGATATCGTCTGAAAGTGAAACTTGCCTCTTTACAATTAATACTTTCATTTTTTAAAATAAACAACTGATTATCATGACAGAAGTTATCATTAGATAAGAAAGAATAAAAAAGTAACTTAACCCCTTCCCTAATCAAACAAGTTCATTTATTTTTGGGTGCCGCCCCAAGCTGAGGTCAATATGCTATTGTATCGCAATTCAGAAGAGTTGCTAAACAGTATGAGGTACCGGATATGCGCACTTTATCAATGGCCGGAAACTTAACTTGCCGGAAGATGGTGTGTATACGCAATTAGAAAAATGGATGCTCATTTTCATAATGGGGATCAAATTGAAAGTTTATTCAACACTTCAATCATGAATACAAGGAATACGCTCTTCATTTCAACTCGCCGATAGAGTTTTTAGACTTATATTGGAATTTCAATGGAATATTTTTTTTCATGATTAGAATTTATGATTTTAAAAGAATGGGAGTTTTAAACTCCTAATGAAATGCAATACTCCTAATGAACTCAGAATTTGAAATGCGTAAAACTGATTAAATAACAGTATGTTAACAAACTTGTCATCCGATACGAATTCTGCCTCAGTGCTGACGTAAAATATCCTAAGTGGTTGACAGATCATCCGTAAGAGTCCCCTTGCCATCAGGCTAACCGTGGGAGGTTTTCGTGGTTTTCGCTTTCGTGTAGCCCAATACTTGAACAGGAGTTTCCTTGTCTTCTGCTTTTGGTTCAAAATTAGAAGCCTACGGAGTTGAACATAGGTATTTGCAAACGCAAAATTGGTTTGGCTGTTCAGCGCTGGTGATACAATAAAACGCATTATTGCGTGCGTACTTTAACCCTTTGAAGTAGAATGGACACCGGTGTCCCTTTTAAGTATTTTTTCTGACGCTCTAGTTACAAGCAAAAATATATTTCGGTATTTTTTAATCATTAAAAACAGTCTCATAATTGTTTAAAAAAANAAAAGTTTTCGAAATACGTCTTACCTTATTACAAAGCAATAGAATGAGTTAAAGAGATGGGAGATATATGTAACATTCGTTTTTTCCTAAAATTCTAAACCTACTTTAGTTTCTTTGCATATAAGTTGAAATATCAATAATATTTTACTGCCCCTTAGAAATTTATTTGCCCCTTAGATTTTTTTTTTTTTAGGGAATTGTGCGTTAAATAAAGCTTATAGTTATAAATTCGTGTCAAAAGACTTACAATAGTAAAATTTTTGGCTGTGAAATTCTTAGCAAGGTATCCAAGAGATGATTAGAACATATACTAGCTTCATTTTTTGTTCAATTTAAAACAGAAAAGTAACAAAAGTCTCCATACTTTATAAGGAGTAATATTGAACACTGATGTTACATTTAAATGCAAGCTTTTTCGTTTTTTTGTTGAAATAAATTTAATTTAACCACGCCCCAACTGGGGGCATCGGGAGAATATCGAACATGAGCTAACTAACGTAATATAAATTGCTATTACATAGAGCATGCGCAAGTACATTGTATGAACAAAAGTATTATATATATAAACATGATCATGTATGTTCAACATATTTATGTTTTCGCGCAGTAACTGAATTTAAAATTATTCGTTACTTTATGTTTTCTGGCAAAAATGACTACTACTTATAATCGTACATATTGATTACATTGATTGTATTAAGTAAAGGATTTCGGTCACTTGTAATCATATACCAGCTATCGCATCTTCTTTGTGATTACAGGTAATCATAATCACTTTTGATCTTTACTTGTAACTTCTAATAAATAATTTCAAGTAGATTATTACCATGTACGTTTTATTTGAAGTTGTTATATTCGTAATCAATTAGAGCATTCCATGCCCATTTCTGTTGAGCAGTGAAATTATTCAGTTATTCTTGATAGAGCCCAACTTAGCCAAATTGGTGACCGGGACAAAAACTTCTTTCCCCGTCCCCTCCTCTGCTTCACTACTTCAGTAATGAAGAACCAAACTTAATGGTGGTATTGAAATATTTCGCCTCCTTATAGCAAGAAATTTGAATAGAACATAAAATAGTAAGTCCCCCTTCCTCCAATGGTCAGAGGAATTATCGTTCTGTTCATTTTATTGATTTTCTAACAATTCTATGTTCATCATGCCGAATGTAGTTTTCTGATTGTTAACTTTGTCACCTAGCTGCGAAAAATTCATATCCTTGCTGACATTAGGGTGGAATTAAGCTAAATTTTCGCAATGACGATGGCCCAATTAAGCCAATCAGAAACCCTTATTTTTTGAAAACATATCACATTTTGCGATGTGCAAAAATACAGGCATTTCATTGGCCAAGTTTGTCCATCATCATTGCGAAAATTTGGCTGAATTCCGCCCTAAAAAGCCGTAGATTTACGAAATTTAGATTTTTACCGTTCATACTATATAGATAAATGAAGAAACTAACATAAAACTGATGGATTTAACACTGTCCATATATTTTGTTTTAAAAAAAAGTTTATTAAAGAAGAAAACCTAAAATATATTTTCTATTCGATATGGGGCCCCGGGGCAGATGCCCCTTACTCCCCTGCCTTTATCAGGCTCTGATTTTTGACTAAGAATAAAGAATAGTAATTGAAAATATTAAATGATTCATTCAAAATATTTCTGACTAATGAATAAATCTTTATTCAAGAAGATTTCGAATGATTGTTCATTATTTTGAATGACAAATGCCCATCTCTGTGTCATTAGCGATCAAAATGGGCTACAGGTGACGTATAGCGGAGCTCTCTTCCTATGGCAACAGTTCACATGCTAGTTGGTTCTAATGCCATGTTGGCAACCCTGCTTGGTGAAACCGAGCAAATTTAAGGCAGAGTGTGCGATTCTTTTTTTTTTTCCGGGCGCCATCTATGGTGTACCTCTACAAAATTACAATTCACTAGTATACAAGACATGTTACCTCTACTCTATGATGGGGTACCTTTTCATAGATGACGGTTAACATAGTCTGTAACTTCCCTCCCCGCAATGGACAAGAATTCGACTTTTGCCACATCATACATCCATTCATTCATCCACAGATCGTAATTTTGGCCTGAATCAGAGAATGATCGATCTCCAAACCAATACCCCAAGAGGTTTTGATTTGTCATGGGAACATGGAGGACTTTGCGACTCTTCAGAATTTTAAGGTGCATCAGACACCAACTGCAAAGGGAGTCTTCGGTCGGCGGGGTTTGAATTCTCGGACATGGGCCTAGTGCCCTACCGACCAGGCTATCCATGCACTTCACTTTCACCAACAGCTTGTGAAGAGTCATAGAAGATGGAAGTACCTTAGTTTCTGTTTTCATTTTCAGATAGATTAAAATCTTATAAGTGAAGAAACTATATGGAACTGAAAACAACATTAGATATAGTTCTTAAACAGGGCTGTCCGATTGCAAAGAGCCCGCGGGCCAGAATTCCGGTCACTGATCACCTGGCTGGCCGCAGTTTGAAAAAGTTAAACAATAAACCCTTACCTCTTATACAATAACAATTAATAGTTGAATTATTAATTCTAAAACAATGGAACAGAGGGATTATAAAACAATTTGCTTACATTTTAATGGGAAAACTGAGGCCAATCAGCCTAAATAAGAAGTTGGCGGGCCCCACAATATGTGATAACGGGCCGCCAGTTGGACAGCCCTGTTCTAAAAGAAAGCGTCTAGGAAAAATTAAAAAATATCCTTAGCAATTAAATACGAAAACTGTTTAAAAAAAAGGAAGAAATATTGCAGTACATTCCTATACAAATGAAAGAGGAGGAGAGGAAAGGGCCAAAAGTATGAAACCGGTCTTCTTTCCAGATGGCGTATTCGAGAGTTGCTATCGCCGCTTTCGATCGCCAATATACACTCAACCATCCATCGTATCGTATCTGCTGCCTAGCTTCACCCAAAGCCTGTCCCGCAGGGGACTGATCGTTAAGACACGGTTCTCAGCAGATCACCGAAGTCAATCATCACTAGCTACGGTCACTGCGTGGGTCGGTGATGTCTTCGATCAGTCTGCGTAGGGTACGAGGGTGAGCGGTATTAGTCCTCGTTAAACTGTTCTACCATAAAGTGCTCGACTTCGCATGCAAGTCGTCGGGCTACCGAAGAGGAGAGCCATCCCCTCTGCAGAGGTTCAAAATTGTGATGGAATGTCTTCGGATCATTCTCTGGCATGTTTTCCAGACCGTCGCCAATAACCCATTGTACAGCTCTAGTGTGACGTAAATGAACTAGAACTACAATTCACCCAAAGCTTTATTAATGATCATAGAAAGCTGTAAGCTTACGCAAAGATCTCGTCTCACTATACTACTCCCGTTCATTAACCTGAGACCTGAACCATCCAAGCGGAGATATATAAATGTGTTAGAAAATCCGATTCAGGTAAAATGTACATAAAAAGTGTGTATCATGTTATATAGCAATTCTTGCTTCAATATGTGTGAAATATATTCATTGATTTTAGTTCATTTCCACTAAGATACTTACACAATGTTAATCGAAAAGACATCGGCAGTGAATGAACAAAAATAATGCAAAGGCGTTATTTCTATTAAGTGTTTACTTGTTACAGATGTAGTTCATGTGGCACAATTATCTTTATACATTAGGAAATCTTCATTATAAATTTCGAGACGGACATTGTCATTGCAAATATTATTTAGAATATCCTTGTACTCGTGACTAGGCATATATAACCGTAATTACAGCTTTAATAAACTAAGCAGGTTTGATCATTTACCAAAAATAAAATATAGATTACTTTCAAACATTTTAAATGATACTCCTATTATGATTATCCTTTTATAGTTTTATTAATAATTTAAATATTTCTGTTGCCTTTTCTTTATTCTCTCCATAGCAATATTAGATGTAAAATCAGTCTCAACTTCTTTTCTTATTATTCAGAAAATCATAATTTTTATGAAATTTATATGTTAATTTTTATTAAAATTTAATTGAATTGTTCTGATAAACTTAGCATTTGAAGCAGAAGCAATTATTACATTTCAGTGATATTTTTAATATTAATTATCTACAACAACTTTATGTAAAGGCACATATTTTTAAACAAGGTGATATATGAGACTTGGTACAAATACTAATATTACTAAGTATATATTGACCATTCAAGTTGGTGAGAAAACTTATTTTTGTGAAACATGTATTCAGAGTTTTTCATAGAAAAGTTATCAAACTGACCACAATCAAACTCTTGCTGGTTAAAAATCTGACTTTTGTAATGAATGTATTAGGAGTTTTTCACAAAAAAATAAAGTGACTGAATACAGTTGTGTCGATATCAGTGAAAAACATTTTTCTTGTGTGTAGTATAATGTAATAAGAGTTTTTCTTATTCAAGAGTGATCTGACTAAGCATAGTTCTTTTCATCCTGGTGGGAAGCCTCATTCTTGTAGTATATGTAACAAGAGTTTTTCATATATTAATCACATGATGGAACACAGTAGTGTTCACACTGGTGAGAAACCTTTTTCTTGTAGTATATGTAACAAGAGCTTTTCACATCAATGTCGTCTGAATGTACACTATCGTGTTCATACTGGGGAGAAACCTTATTCATGTAGTTTATGTAATAAGAGTTTTTTACTTCGAAGTCGTCTGAATGAACACAGTCGTATTCACTCTGGAGAGAATCCTTATTCTTGTAGTATATGTAATAAGAGTTTTACAAACAGAAGTAGTCTTACTCAGCACAGTTATGTTCATACTGGTGAGAAACCTTATTCTTGTGGTTTGTGTAAAAAGAGTTTTTCACGAAAAACTCAGCTAACTGAACACCGTTGTGATCACACTGATGAGAAACCTTATTCTTGTAGTTTATGTAAAAAGAGTTTTTCACGAAAAACTCATCTAACTAGACACAGTCATGTTCATACTGGTGAGAAACCTTATTCTTGCAATATATGTAATAAGAATTTTTTTCTTGGAAGTAATCTGAAAGAACACATTCGTGTTCACACTGGTGAGAAACCTTATTCTTGTAGTTTATGTAATAAGAGTTTTTCAAACAGAAGTGGTCTTACTCAGCACAGTTATGTTCATACTGGTGAGAAACCTTATTCTTGTGGTTTGTGTAATAAGAGTTTTTTGAACAAAAGCAATCTGGATCATCACAATCGTGCTCATACTGGAGAGAAACCTTATCCTTGTAGTATGTGTACAAAGAGTTTTTCACGCAATAGTAATCTGGCAGCGCACCTTCGTATTCATGCTGGAGAGAAACCTTATTCTTGTAGTATATGTAATAAGAATTTTTTTAACAAAAGCAATCTGGATGATCACAATCGTGTTCATACTGGCGAGAAACCTTATTCTTGTAGTATATGTACAAAGAGTTTTTCACGAAAAAGGCAGCTGACTGTGCACTTTCGTGTTCATACTAGAGAGAAACCTTATTCTTGTAGTATATGTACAAAGAGTTTTTCACAAAAAAGTCAGCTGACTGTGCACTTTCGTGTTCATACTAGAGAGAAACCTTATTCTTGTAATATATGTGATAAGTGTTTTTCAAGCAGAAGTCAACTGACTAAACACAGTCCTGTTCACACTGGTGAGAAACCTTGTTCTTGAAGTTTAAGTAATGAAAGTTTTTCCAGCAGAAGTCAGCTGACTAAACACAGTCCTGTTCACACTGGTGAGAAACCATATTCTTGTAGTTTATGTAATAAGAGCTTTTTTAAAAAAAGCAATCTGGATAATCACAATCGTGTTCATACTGGCGAGAAACCATATTCTTGTAGTATATGTACAAAGAGTTTTTCACAAAAAAGGCAGCTGACTGTGCACTTTCGTGTTCATACTAGGGAGAAACCTTATTCTTGTAGTATATGTACAAAGAGTTTTTCACACAAAAGTAATCTGACCGTGCACTTTCGTATTCACACTGGTAAGAAACCTTATTCTTGTAGTTTATGTAATAAGAGTTTTTCAGAAAAAGGTCTTCTGGCTAGACACAGTCCTGTTCACACTGGTGAGAAACCATATCTGTGTAGTATATGTAATAAGAGTTTTTCATGCAACAGTAATCTGGCAGCGCACCTTCGTATTCATACTGGAGAGAAGCCTTATTCTTGTTGTATATGTAATAAGAATTTTTCACAAAACAGTCAACTGACGAGACACAGCATTGTTCATACTAGTGAGAAACCTGATTCTTGTAGTTAATTCTTACCCCTGTATTCACTGTTGACACTGACCTAACACGATACACCCAGTTCCAACACCCTGGTTTGGAAATATTGACCACGAGTAAAAAAGTGTATTCTTCATTATTTTTGGACTGCCTGTTTCACAACTGGGAGTTTCTTGTTATCCGGTGGTAGATTTACAGCCTGATAAACAGTTTGTATTCAATTTTCATTGCTATATTTAATACAAATTTTCTATGAAGGAATAAAAAAAAGATTGCATCGAGTAATTAAATTTGAATCGCTCTTTTACTGAACAAATGAAAAGTTGTTAGCTTTCGTTTTCCTAACTGACTTTTATTAAAGAGCAAAAGTATCAAAGTATTATTATTATAAATTTAGATATTTTGTTATTATGGATATCATCATACTTTTATTACACACAACTAGGACTGGGCGATATAAGAAATTTTATATCGTGATGCATCGTCAGTTTTGTGTCGCGATATAGCAATGTATCGCGGTATAGTATTTTTGAATTTCATTTACTTGTAAGGCACAGAAAGTCAGATTTCTATCAAAACTCCATACTCAGATTGTTTAAATCAAATTATGTTTTGCTTAAGAAAGATATATTATTTTCCATTTTCTAAAAATGATCGTGCAAATAATGAAAGATTTCTTAGTTTAAAAATAAATAATAAGTAAAATTGAAATTTATCAATATATTTACCTAACAATATAGAAAGAAAATTTAAAAAATAAGTTCGTTAAAAATTATTTGTATGATTAAAACAAAGTGCTAAATAAATTTTTAAAAAAAAAACGCTTTTAAATCAACACTATATTTTATCATTATTATTTCACATAAATAATTAAGTTAAATTGAATAATTACCGAATTCTGAACGAAAAAACAAAGTAAGGTTTAATTTCTTAAAAATAAAAACAAAAGAATTATGATATTCGATAATATATTTAACTGACAATATTGAAAGAAAATTAAAAAACACGATTATACTCTGTAAACAAACGAAGTGCTAAATGATTAAAAAAAAAAAAGAAGTCTCGAACTAATTTTTTTGAATAAACAAAGTTGATTGACTTATGCCCAAATCCAAAAGAGGAAAAATAAGTTTTGTTATAATTTTATTTATAAAAGTTAAAACAACTAAAGATTTATAAATTTAAAATCAGTAATAAAAACCCACTTAAATTATTAGAAGTTTTATAGAAACACTTCTTTATATATTCTTTTCAATGATAGATTACGTTCAAAACAAGGTTACGACGGCCGTGAGTCCCACTGAAAATAATCTACAAGAAACGATATCAAGTCACGACAAAGGAAAACTATGAGGCGAGCATGCGAGTTCACTATATATATTCTCAAAACTATGGTTCTGATTCTACCACTCATCATTCAAGGCCATTTCAACATAACGAAATGAACATCGTCTTCCACAGCGCGAGTCGGTATCAGTTGCAGGAAGATCCTTGTGCGTCTTATATCGATACATTGTTTTGTTTTCGTCGTCTTTAGTCTACGGCTTAAATCAGTATTATACGGTCAAAAAATAAGTTAAGTCTTGACATTTTTTTAGAGTGGCACCTCTCATCATAAAGTAGCCAGGCCATATATTTAAAAAAATTTTAATTTAAAGACAGCATTTAATTTCATATAGTATTAAGCAATTAATCTCTCCCAAATGATTCTATTATTTCCAAATGTTCAGCTGATTATTTTATGGTTATTTGATGCAGATTATTACGTAGTTTAAATGTCACCTCAGGTCAAGATTTGTATTGATTACATAATATTTATTTCATCATAAGTTTTAATCTATATTAAAAATAATGTTTATGTTTTTAATTCTATGAATAGTTTTATTTTATGTATTAAAAAAAATTTAAAATGCCATTCGTTATTTAAATATTGTAAATTATTTTGCTTGTTCATCTCTAAACTATATTTTATTTTTGTGCAAGATCTATCATTTTGATAGATATTATCAAGATCTGTAATTATTTTATGAATTATATTCTTTTTTTTATATTTCTTTCAAGCATTGATTGTTTTTTTTTTTTTTTTTTTTTCATTTTAAGACTACGCTTTAGCGGCAGCTAATTTGATTTGTTTTTCATGTAAGACAAAGCTGAAAGGAATGATCGACATTCAGTAAGCACTTTCTTCGAAATCATTTAACCGAATCGGAAGCTTGAAGAGTTGTTAGCCTGTTAGAGGGTGACCAAACACACAAGCTGAAGTAGCAAAAGCCACTGGAATTTTACAAAGTGTGATTTTCAGGATCTGGAACTATTTTTTGGAGACTGGAAGATCAGGGCAAGGGCTTAGACATGTAACAACACTCAATGAAGACTGCTATTTTACGCTAATGACTCGGAGACATCGAAATATAAATACCCCTCTTTTTCAGAAACACATTTATTCGACTGCTGCAATGACGTAGGTATAGTGCGGCTTTCGTGAGAACTCCTCCAGACATCAGTCTCACGTCGTGGCGGGTACCATGGTTACGAGGAAAAGTCACTTCGAATAGGGGCGTGGGGCAAATACTTTTGTCTTGAACTTGACATAGGTCAGCGAGATTAAACCAATCGACACCTTCATTCCTCCATTGGACCCCCATTAGAAATGTGCTCTTACTCGTTACCATAGCAGCAGACAGCCCCAGACTTTTAGTCTGGAGGACTTTTCTTCAAAGCCGCACTATGAGAGAAGTGGTTCAAACACCCCCCCCCTATTGTAATTGGAAATATTTTCTCACACTATTTATATTTTAGTTTAAAAAATTGTTTCTTGTGTTGATTTCATTAGGTAGAAAACAACACTTTAAAAACCATTCTATAGCATCGATATAAGGCTCTTCCTTGTTTAAAAAAAATTTTTTTTTAATATTTGTTCTTCCCTCACAAGTAATACTCTGGACGATACCCAGTATGTCCCTGTTGTTTACTTCACAGGGTGCGTAGCGTTTTAAAATGTGCTTATTTTCGTTTTTTGAAAGCCCTTAAAGGTGTTTTTTTTTTTTTTCATTGTTTGTTTTTCAAAATTGCTTAATTTTACCTTTTTCGAAATGAGATTTTTCCCTTACTATGTTGATTATCGCTTCGAATTATGCAAAAAAGACTCAGTTCAGATTGTTCTATTCAACGTTTCCATAATTAATTCAACCTGAATCTATATCGGCGTATTGTCAGTCCATAATATGAAAACGCCATTCGTTTAACGTGATTCAAAACTTCATGATTTTTGACAATTGTCCAAAACAATACCAAAAGAGTTTTTTTTCTTTTTTTTTGACGTAACGGTTCAAACAAGATAAAACCGTCAATTGTCAAAAACTTTCCTACCCTGCCTAATTATATTTGTTTGAAGTGCTTAAAAATATTTTTTGAAGGTGTGTGAAATATCTATGCCGGCTATCTACTGGAAGTAGGGAAAGATAATTTGTTTGTTTGAATCTGTTTATAAATGCTTCATCGGGACATTTTCCTAGAATTTTGGGGGTGCCTTTTTAGGATTAAAATAAGATGTAACCAGTGAATAGAGGGTGTTCTAAGAGTTGTTCTAACTGTCAAATGAAACATTTTATCGTCATTACAGTCAAAAAGCTTTTACTAAGATGTGCTCAGATTTTGTTCTAACTCTCTGGTTCTCTTCAAAACTTTTAGTATATTTTTAAGTACACTTATATTTTTATGTAGTGGACTATTTCTTATCGTATATTGTTTTTTCCTTTTATTAAAATTTTATTTTTATTGATAATTTCTTTCCTGCATTCTCTCCTTGAAAACCAAGAAAACGCTTTACTAGCAAACTAACAGGCAATAATGAGACTATATCTCAGCAATTATGTATTATCATTTTCCAATTTCTTGTGCGTTATACGAAATTTAATGTTTGACTAGCCTGGAAAGTTTACTAAAATGTTCTTTATTTTATTTGTTTTTTGTAAGTACATAAATTGCATTTTATTTTATTTCAAATATTTGAGTTTCAGAATGATATAAAGAATTAAATTTTAAGAACATATTAGTTTGTTTTGTTTTTTTAATTTTAAAATTTACGAATTATTAATCTCTAAAAAAATGTGTCATAAAATTTGCGAGTTTCAGATTTTTCTGGCAAAGAGACTGAATGTTATCAATTATTATTAATCATTACAACCTATAAAAAAAGATCAAATTATGGACAGCTGCTATAACGAAACAACTGCAATAAAGAAACACCGCAGTTCCCTAGAGGGCGTTGATATAGAATAAAAACTAGCTACTAGACCAGTGATGCCAACGTTCACCGTGACGTCCGTTTGGTCGAGTGATTGATCTTTCTGCCTTTATATCTATGGTCACTTCTAACCATATACCAGTTATTGCATCCTGTTGTGATTGTAGGTAATCAGAATCACTTTTTACCTGAAATCTTTACTTGTAACTTATAAAATAACAACCATTGAAGATCGAAATGAGCTAAAGGTGGCGTAGAGCAGAACACTCTACCTATGGCAACACTTCACATGCTTTTACGCCTAGCGTATGAAAAGTCATAGGAGAAGGAAGTTCTTTAGTTTCTGTCTTCATATTCAAATAAATTAAAATCTTTTAAGTGAGGAAACTATATGGAACTGAAAACTACATTAGACCTAGTTTTAAAAGGAAGCGTTTTGGAAATTTTAAAAAATATCTTTAGCAATTAAACACGAAAAGTATTCAAGAAGGGTAAAATATCATAGTACAACCTCATAAAAGGAAGATGGAAGGGTCAAAAGCATGGAACCGGTTTTCTCCCCAGATGGCGCATTCGAACGTTGCGATCGCCTATAGATAGACAGTACTGCTAGTCGCCACCTACGATCGCCAATATACACTCAACCATCCTAATGACGATCGCAACACTCGAATACGCCATTTGGGAAGAGATCGGTTTCATGCCTTTGGCCATTCTCCTCCTTTTCAGTTCAGTATGAATGCTCTACAATATTTTCCCTTTTCTTAATATTTTTCCTCTTCATTTAATGAAAATGTTTTTAAAAATTTCTGTGATGTTTTTCTTTAGAACTATGTTTAGTGTAGTTTTCAGTTCCATATAGTTTTCCTACTTAAAAGATTTTAATATATATGAAAATCAAGAGAGAAACTAACGTACATCCCTCCTCTATGACTCTCCACACGCTAATGGGGAAAGCATGTGAAGTATTGCCATAGGTACAGAGTTCTGTTCTATGCCACCTGCAGCCCATTTCGATCGCCAATGGAAATGTGTACTACGATATTTTCCATTTTATTTAATAAAAATAATTTTTCAGATTTCCGTATTGCTATTCTTTCCTCTTCTTCCCATTGGCACGACAGCCCAGAATGGGCCCTGGCCTTCTCAACAAGCCTATGCCAAGGCATTCTTCCCTTAGCCAAGGTTCTCCAGTTTTATTATCTTTAAGCCTTTTCAAGGCAGTCTAAAAATCTTAGGTTTGGTCGTCCTCTTTTTCTTGTACCTCTTGGCCTGGCACTGAAGACTTTTTTGGTTGTTCTGCTATCCTCCATTCTCACAATTTGGCCTGCCCATTTAATCCTTTAAATTTTGGTAAATTTAATGCCATCAGGTTCTTTAGATGCTTTGTAAAGTTCCGTGTTTGATCTTCAGGCCCCTCTTCCCCACTGGGCACTATGGGCACGTGCCCAGGGCCCCGCGATCGAATGGGGCCCCCTAGTTCCTGCCAGATTACCAAATGATAACCGATACATTATTACCGAAAAACATTAATTTTGAAAAATCTGATGATAATGACTTACTACAATACCTACGCTTATTATATTAGCTTTAGTTTGCCGCATGCGGATAGCTATACCTTGTACAACATAGCTTGAACTTTTTGACAGATGGGTCAGTGATGGGAAACAGAAAATATCTATTGGTGTAAAAAATGTGTTGGCTAAATATGTGGCTGTATGTATGTTTTAAACTATTCAAAATAAATAAATTCATTCGTCAATCAATTTTATTGCACTAGACATAAAAACATTGGGTAGGTAAGAAACCATTGTTTTCAGTTTTTCTATTTAAATTTTACCTCGAAGCAATAAAAACCACTTAAGACTTTCGGAAAATGCTTGAGTCCTTAACAGGTACTTTTATGTTGTGTGTCTATTCTTATGATTATTATCAATTTTTAATATTATTAAAATAAGAAGATATTGTTCGTCGTTGCAAAGTTATATCGATTTCAGATTTGACATCTGTCAAAAAGAAAGATCAAACTAATAAATAAACAGGGTATAATACTCCACTCTCTCTCAAAAATGAGTTTTTCCGATATTAGTATGTTTAGGTTAATTTAAATACCTATATGTAAGTATAAGAATACAATTTAAAAAAAAATTATTAAATTAAAAAAAGAATTATTTGATGCGGTGTGGTTTATGTCTTAAAGAAACCTATTCGAACGTCATTCGTAATACCAAAGACAAAAAAGGGGAATTCCCGATTCCCGATCGTCGTTTGACTTGACGAACGGGAATTCCCTTCAAGTATTTGTCTGCGATGTTGTGGCGTTTGTTTTGTTTGTAGTTGTTAGTTTGTTACTGACTGTGCTCGAGCTCTGATAAAAAAAATAGTATTGTTTGATTAAATCGTCGTTTTGTCTGTTTTGTGTTAGCGAATATTTTCGTTATAAAATTAATTAAATAGTGAATTATAATATAAAATGTCGAAACGGTCATATCCTAGTGGATCTGAAAAAAGGAAAAAAGCTCTACATCAGAAAGAAGTAATTGAAAAGTTACCAAAATTAACATCATATTTTACTACTACTACTGGAGAAACTTCTGTAAGTAGCAATCAACTCATAAATGTTCCACATGATGACTCAGCTCAATTACAAATTGCGGGAATTTCTAAACCTTCATGTTCCAATTTTGAAAAAGAGATTGAATCAGAAAGCGACTATTCCTACGACGAAAGTGCAACGACTTCAGTGACTTCACTAAAACCGACAACTCCAACTGTGTCAATTGAACAGCAGTTTTCCAACACAGAAGAATTAATATCGCACGATCCCGCCGATTATTTTCACGAAAAGTTTGTTGAAATAAATCGCGAAATTTTAATTCGTAAGGGACCAGTATATTTTCAAAATAAAGATTCTGACTTTTCCGAGGCATCCAGAACATACAAAGATGGTAATAAATTAGTAACGAGATATTTCAACAAAGCATTATTTATTCGCAAATTAAAGAACAATGAAAGCGTCGAAAGAAAATGGTTGCTGTATTCGCCTTCCAAATGCTCTGTATTTTGTTTTTCATGCTGCTTATTTAACCCAACTGATGTTAATCTTTGCTCTCGGAATGGATGTAATGATTGGAAGCATATTAATCACATAATTTTAACACATGAAAATAGCCCAGCGCATAAGCAATCTATGATGACTTATCTGGCACGAAGTAAAGCGGTTGGTAGAGTAGATATAGACTTATTATCTCAACATCAAAAGGAAGTGGATTACTGGAGAAACGTACTTAAACGGATTGTAGCTGTTGTAAAATTTTTGGCATCGAGAGGGCTTCCATTTCGCGGCGACAATGAAATCCTAGGATCTCCAAACAATGGAAATTATTTGGGTTGTGTGGAATTATTGAGTGAATTTGATCCATTTCTTGCAGATCACTTAAAAAAATTTGGGAATCCTGGAAAGGGTAACATTTCTTATTTATCAGCAAATATCTGTAATGAGTTTATTGAAGTAATGGGAAAACAGGTTCTAAAAAAAATTATAAATGAAGTTAAATCAGCAAAATATTTTTCCATAAGCGTTGACAGTACGCCCGATCTGTCTCATATTGACCAGCTAACTTTCATCATTCGATACGTAAAAGACTGTGTTCCTGTTGAAAGGTTTTTGAAATTTATACCTATTAAAGAACATAAATCTAAGTATTTAGCGGAGACCATCTTAAATTTTTTAGAGATACATGATATTCCCATAAAAGATTGCAGAGGACAAAGCTACGACAATGCTTCAAATATGTCGGGAAAGTATAGTGGTCTACAAACAAGAATCAAGGAAAAATGTGAATTTGCCACCTTTATACCATGTGCAGGACATTCACTAAACTTGGTAGGTGTCCATGCTGCTGGGTGTGTACCGGAGGCATCACAGTTTTTTGAAATAGTTCAGAAAGTGTACAACTTTTTTTCGGGCTCTACCCACAGATGGAATATGTTAACAGAACATTTAGGTTCAAAAAAAGTTGTTAAGAGTCTTTCACAAACCAGATGGTCAGCCCGAGCTGATGCAGTAAGTGCTTTGCATGGGGGTTATAAAAGAATATTAGAAGCTTTAATCACCATCGCAAACGATACTGAACAGGCACGAGAAACAAGAGACGAAGCCCTTAGTCTGTCTAGAAAAATGGGAAATCTAGAATTTATTATACTGACGGAAATCTGGAGCACTATATTGGAAAGAATAGACAAAACAAGTAATTATCTTCAGAAAGAAACAATAACACTGGACGTTGCAACCAATTTGTTGACTTCACTTTATGATTTTATTACTAACCTCAGGGATAAATTTGATAACTTCGAATCATCTGCCAAAGAAAATAACCCAGAATCTGACTACAAGGATCTATCTCAAAGAACAAGACGTAGAAGCTCACGGCAGAGTTTTTTTGATGGCTCTGCGCCATCAGTCCAATTGAATGGAAAAGAGCGATTCAACGTAGAAACCTTTCTCCCAATAATCGATACCTTGAGTGTTCATCTAAAACAGCGACAAAGTTCATATGAGATCGTCAGTCAACGTTTTAGTTTATTTTTTCACTNAAGATCTGCTTCCGTTTTTTAAGCGCGAGCTGGATATCCTACCGCTTTAGGATCCATGTAATGAACTTATAACATGCCTTTATTACTGCAGAACATAAATTTTTTGAGGCAGATAATTTTCACTCCGTGTAATTCCAATGGCGAAATTTCCACACTCGCCTCCGGCGGTAAAGTTTTTCTTTCCACCAATCAGGAATCGTTTCTCCCTTGTCCACACTCTTTTACTCCACACGCTACAGGGGAAAGCATGTGAAACGTTGCCATAGGTAGAGAGTTCTGCTCTTCGCCACCTACAGCCTATTTCGCCAATCTAGCTTCACCCAAGGCCATATTAATGCAAATAGAAAGCTATAAGCTTAAGCAATGATCTCGTCTCATTACACTGCACTCTTGATGGTGTCAATCCTTCAATCTAAACAGTCCGAGCTTAGATATAAATGTATTAGGAAATCCTAAAGAGGAAAAATGTGCTCGAAATTTGTGCATCATGTTATATAGCAATACTTGCTTGAATATAACAATTCTTGATTTAATGTGTGTGAAATATATTCATTGATTTTAATTTGTTTGCACTAGGATGCTTTCACAATGTTTATCGAAAAGACATTGACAATGAATGAAGAAAAATAATGCCAAAGCGTAATTTCTATAAGCTGTTTACCTGTTACAGATCTTGTTCATATGGCGCATTTATCTTTTTACATTAGGAAATCTTTATTATAAATCTAGAGACGGACATTGTCATTGCATATATTATTTGGAATTTCCTTGTACTCGCGACTAGGCATATATAACCATAATTACAGCGTTAAAATTTATTTTTAATGCTGCACTAAATCAACTAAACAGGTTTGATCATTTACCAAGAATAAAATATCGATTACATTCAAACATTTTAAATGATACTCCTATTATGAATTTTAAGTATTATTAATAATTTAAATATTTATTTTGCCTTTTCTTTATTCTCTCCATAACAATATTAGATATAAAATCAGACTCAGCTTCTTTCCTTCTTATTCAGAAAATCATATTTTTTTTATAAAATATATATTAATTTTTATTCAAATTGAATTGAATTGTTCTGATAAACTTAGCATTTGAAGCAGAAGCAATTATTACATTTCAGTGACATATTTAATAATAATTATATACAACAACTTTATGTAAAGGCACATATTTTTATTCAATGTGATATATATTAGACTTGGAACAATTACTAATGTTACTAAGTATACGATGACCATTCAATTTGGTCAGAAAAATTATTCTTGTGAAACATGTAATTAGAGTTTTTCATAGAAAAGTCATCCAACTGACCACAATCGGACTCATGCTGGTTAAAAATCTGACTCTTGTAATATATGTATTTGGTGTTTTTTACAAAAAAATTAAGTGACTGAATACAGTCGTGTCGACAGTAGTGAAAAAAATTTTCTTGTGTGTAGTATATGTTATAAGAGTTTTTCTTATTCAAGCGTGATCTGACTAAGCATAGTACTTTTCATGCTGGTGTGAAGCCTCATTCTTGTAGTATATGTAACAAGAGTTTTTCATATATTAATCACATGATGAAACACAGTAGTGTTCACACAGACGTGAAACCTTTTTCTTGTAGTGTATGTAACAAGAGCTTTTCACATCAATGTCGTCTGAATGTACACAATCGTGTTCACACTGGGGAGAAACCTTACTCATGTAGTTTATGCAATAAGAGTTTTTCACTTCGAAGTCGTCTGAATGAACACAGTCGTATTCACTCTGGAGAGAAACCTTATTCATGTAGTTTATGTAACAAGAGTTTTTTACATCCAAGTCATCTGAATGAACACAGTCGTGTTCACAGTGGGGAGAAACCTTATTCATGTAGTTTATGTAATAAGAGTTTTGCACATCGAAGTCATCTGAATGAACACAGCCATGTTCACACCGGTGAGAAACCTTATTCTTGTACTATATGTAATAAAAGTTTTTCAAACAGAAGTAATCTTACTCAACACAGTTATGTGCATACTGGTGAGAAACCTTATCCTTGTAGTTTATGCAATAAGAGTTTTTTACAAAAATCTCACCTAACTAAACACAGTTGTGTTCACACTGGAGAGAAACCTTATTCTTGTAATATATGTAATAAGAATTTTTTTAAAAAAAGCAATCTGGATGATCACAATCATGTTCACAATGGTGAGAAACCTTATTCCTGTAATTTATGTAGTAAGAGTTTTTCACAAAAATTTAATCTGTCTAGACACAGTCGTGTTCACACTGGTGATAAACCTTATCTGTGTAGCTTATGTAATAAGAGTTTTTCACATCAAAGTCATCTGAATGAACACAGTCGTGTTCACACTGATGAGAAACCTTATTCTTGTAGTATATGTAATAAGAGTTTTTCACGCAAAAGTAATCTTACTCAACACAGTTATGTTCATACTGGTGAGAAACCTTATTCTTGTAGTTTATGTAGGAGGAGTTTTTTACAAAAAACTCATCTAACTAAACACAGTTGTGTTCACACTGGTGAGAAACCTTATTCTTGCAGTTTATGTAATAAGAGTTTTTTAAAAAAAAGCAATCTGGATCATCACAATCGTGTTCACACTGGTGAGAAACCTTATTCTTGTAGTTTATGTAATAAGAGTTTTTCACAAAAATTTAATCTGTCTAGACACAGTCTTGTTCACACTGGGGAGAAGCCTTATCTGTGTAGCTTATGTAATAAGAGTTTTTCATACAGCAGTAGTCTGACTGAGCACTTACGTGTTCATACTGGAGAGAAGCCTTATTCTTGTTGTATATGTAATAAGACTTTTTCACGCAACAGTAATCTGTTAAGACACAGCATTGTTCATACTAGTGAAAAACCTGATTCTTGTAGTTAATTCTTACCCCCCGTATTCACCGTTGACACTAACCTAACCCGAAACACCCACTTCCGACACACTGGTTTGGAAATATTGACCACGGGTCAAAAAGTTTATTCTTCATTATTTTTTGACTGCCTGCTTCACAACTCGTTGTTAACTTGTAATCCGGTGGCAGATTTACAGCCTGATTAACAGTTTGAATTTTTGTTGTTATTTTTAATGCAAATTTTCTATGAAAGAATATAAAAAAGATTGCATGGAGTAATTAAATTTGAATCACTCTTTTACTGGACAAATTAAAAAGTTGTTAGGTTTCGTTTTCCTAACTAACTTGTATTGATGAGCAAAAGGAACTAAGTATTATTATTATGAATTTAGATATTTTATTATTATGGATATCATCAAGTCATATGGATATCATAATACTTTTATCTCACACAACTATTTAATACTTTTATTTTAAACAGCCATCAAGGGGATTATGCTAACATCCTTTTCATCCTTATTCATGTTTTTAATATTTTTTTCCATCATAACATATTATTGATAACTTAAACCATTGAAAAGAATTTTCTTTTTTTAAACATGTTAAATGAAATTGTATAAAATAATCTTCTCAGCTCAGATAAGCATAAATCAACATATTCTTATTATTCAGAAGAAGTTATAAATGACTATTATTGTGCTGCCAATGATAGAGAGAATCACTGTGAGGCAGTGTTCCCAAAGTGTGGTACGCGTACCCTCAGTGGGAACAGTTTAGCAGCGGTACGCATTCTTATGCGAAATATGTTGCAACTAACGAAAATTTTAAATAATTTTATTTAAAAACTGAGCTATCCATGAAAATTTACGATTACGTATTTTTCTATTGGCTATTTTTTGCAGAGATAACAGTTAATAATTAGTGGTGTCAACAGCCAGTTGTGATTTTTGTCTTCTGCGCAATTTTTTTATAGTAAAAAAAATCATTCCTTTTTTTATTAGTGGTACTCAGCATTACGAAAAATTTAGAAAGCGGACACAAAAGTCATAAGTTTGGGAAACACTGCCACAGGGGATATGATTAATAAGATAACAATTTTTTTAATGGCAAATGTCATAATATGAACATATACTCCAAAACTTTTAAAAAAATCATACATTTAATAATTTAGTTATTTAAATAATTTGTAAATGGAAATAGATGTATATGCCCCAGATGTCATAAATATGGGTGCCACTCATCAGTCCTTGGGATTGAAATCAGACTTGAGAAAAATCAATGTGCTAATAAATTGTATCAATTGAATTAAATTTTCTTTCTTTTTTTAAAAAAAATTTTTGATCAAAATTAAAAAATAATGTATTTTAATGAAAACATGATATGGTAATGATATCAGAATTTAATTTGTCTTCTTTTTGTCAGCTTCTCTAAATCTTATTCTTAAAGTCTTGACAAATAGGATTGATTGAACTTCATCTGCTTGTGTAATTAAATTTATAGTATTGCTGAATCTAAATCTGCTCGAGTTTGCTTCCCTCACCCTAACATATTGTCTTGCTAGCCAAAGTTAAATCAAGAATTTTTTTTTAAAAAAAAGAAAGAAATTGTAGTGCTGGAACGAAAGATAAAGATATGAACGTTTTCAGGTTGTTCAGTTATAGTTGTAAAAAATTATGCAAGGTTAACTGTTATTTTCGTTTTGTTTGCTAAAAAAACATAAAATAAAGAAAAACATTTTTAGAGATAATAATCAAATGATTGATTTAAGGCTATTATCAAGAAAAGGTGAATTTCGGTGTCTGTGAGCTATAAATTTCTAAAAGTTTGGTAAACAACGCTAGACAGTATTATTGGGTCAAAAAATAAGTTAAGTCTTCAAATTTTTTTAGAGTGGCACCCCTGGGCATAAAGTAGCCAGGCCATATATTTAAAAAAATTTTAGTTAAAGACTGCATTTTAATTTCATATAATATTAAGCAATTAATCTCTCCTAAATGATTATATTATTTCCAAATGTTCAGCTGATTATTTTATGGTTATTAAAGTTATTTGATGCAGATTATTATGTAGTTTAAATGTTACCTCGGGTCAAAATTTGTATTGATTGCATAATATTTATTTCAGCATAAGTTTTAATATATAGTAAAAATAATGCTTATGTTTTAAATTTTATGAATAGTTTTATTTTATGGATAAAAAAAATTTAAAATGCCATTCACTATCTTTATATCTAAATATTGGAAATTATTTTGCCTGTTCATCTCTAAACTATATTTTATTTTTGGACAAGATCTATCATCTCGATAGATATTATCAAGAGCTATAATCATTTTATGAATTGTATTGTTTTTTGTATTTCTTTCAAGCATCGATTGTATGTTTTTTTTTTCATTTAAAAAAATAAATAAAAGCTAGTTAAATTATTTGGAATCTTAATTTTTTACACTATTCTTATGAATTATCATTAAGGACACAATCTGTATTATCCGCGATTTTTTTTTTCCGAGTGAAAAATAGTTAAAGTGCAGCAACGACTGCTAATAATAATTTGAGAAATATATAAGTAAAAGAATACAAAACAAAATAAAAACCAAATCTTAAGGATAAATACTAAAAATAAAATCATAATTATCACAATTAAACAAAATCAAATCATCAGTATATTGTTATAGAAAGTAACTTTGATGTTTTGGATTATATCAATAATAATGTAATTTCTAGTATTAATACTTTTGATTTCGAAAGTTTGTACGCTAGTATTCCACATGCACATATTATTGAAATTTGTGGTGGCATTTTTGATAAATATTTATTTAATGAGAAAATTGATAATTTTATTGGTTGGATTTATTATGTAGGTTTAATCTTTTTGAGAATGTACTTTTTAATGGTCTGGATTTTTATAAACAAATTATTGGAATTCCACAAGGTAATTCCTTTTCTGGTGCTTTTGCTAATATTTTTTTGCATTTTTTGAAGCTAAATTTCTTGAGTTCAATGATTTTAATGCTTTTAGATATATTGATGATCTGATTTTGTTTAATTGTGATAAATATGATTTTATTTTTAGTATTTATCCTGAAGATTTGGTTTTGAAAAAAACTAATGAGAATTGCTTAAATGTTGAATATTTAGATTTTAAAATTGATATTGTTGATAAAAATATTAAAATTGGTGTTTTTGGTAAACGAAACGCTTTTAAATTTAAAGTTATTTTTTCTGTAACTTTAATACTAGTTTGTGCAATAAAATTTTCAAATTTTTTTTTTCTCAATTGTTTAGAGTTAAAAAAATTTGCAATAACGTTGAATGTTTTCAGGAGGCTGCAAATAATTTGTTGAGAAATAATGATTTTCCTTATAATGTTAAATTTTTTATTGGGAAAATGATTGAGGAATTTTAGTTTATTATTTCTTTTAACAGGGCAAAATTAAAGTCTTGACTGAGCAGCCCCAGTTAAGCATTATATTAATCTGTTACGCAATCCTTACCTTCCCTATCCTTTTTTCCCTGGACTTTTGCAAACCTTCGGGGTACTGAAAGAGAAAATTTTGATATTTGTCTGGCTCTTTCAATAGAAAAGGTTTTGTTTTATGGCTTCTGGAGCTGCTATCCCCTGAAGACGTCGGCTTCGGTGGCCATATTTTTATTTCCATTGTTCTTATCTTTATTTCTTCTATTGAGAAATATATATATAATATCTTCTATGGAATATATTATATCAGGATAAACTTAATATCCATTTTATTAATATGCATTTATTTGATATAAATTAATTATAGTTACATCTTAATCAGTAATGAATTAACCTCACTGAACATTAAAAAAAAGGAACCAAACATCAAAAGTGTTAATTTTGAAAACATAAATAAATAAAAATTCGCCTACTGCTCATCAGTGGTAAATCAAACCGGGGAAATCTGGTTAAAGTTAGTTAACTCTGGGTCCAACTGACATGCAGTTATGCACATTGTGAAATGAAATTTTGGAATCTAACTTGGAGTTGCTCTCATAAAACCTGAAGGTTGGTTTCCAAGGTGAATACGGGTGTTAGAGTTTATCTCTGTTAAGGATTTTTATGCTCACTGTTCTGTTCATACTACTGACTTAACTTTATTCTTGTTTTAAGTTTATACAGATAATGTTTAAACGATGTGTTCGCAATAATTTTCATTTTAGTTATTAATCTCATTGTCTAACTTTATTTAACAATTTTTATAGAAAAGTATTTTAACTGTCTTGTCCAGAGCTCTTAATATCAAATCTGTTTGTGATTTTTTTCTTCTTTTAATTCAGTTGGATATAAGACATTCAATATCATGAGACTTAGAAGTAGGAACTTTACTGATGGTGGCTATAATTAGCTGACTGAGAGACTTCCTTACTACGACATTCTGTTTGACAGCAAACTGTAGTCAGGGGTCTGTCTTGTTTTTTTTTTAGAGGTACCTATTTTGTGAAAATTTAGACATAATTTGTGAAATTTGAAAATTATATTAACCTTTTGCTTAAGGCTGGTACAACAGGTGAACCAGAATAGCTGGCTTCATCATATTAAACGCCGTAAACAAAGGGTTAAAAAAAACGTAACACAAAAATATGGTAAAATAAGAAATTATTTTCAAAAATATTTAAATATTTTTAGAAAATATGTTAAAAGTATTTTGCGAAGCTACTAATTTTCCTAAAATTGAATTTGTGAAATTTTCTCAAAACAGCAGTAAATTTGCCCTGAACAGACCCCTGGTAGTATACATTTTCAGAATACTGCCTGCATATTTTCCTATCAAAATAAATAATTTTTTATAAAAATTAATTTTTGATAAAATTATTTCTGTATATGATAAAACATAAAACTATCTAACATAAAAGTTATAGCTTCTTATCAGAATGTTTTATAAAATGTCTTAAAACTGTAATTAGAATTAATTTTTTATTGTTTTTGAAACGAATTAAGAAATAAATGATTTAAAATAAAGTATCGGAATCAATAATACATTATTTACGTGTCCAATAAATATCATTCTGTTATTTGCATTCCTTCCTGGTGTAGCAATTTTAATGGCCAGTTGTGTAGGAGTAAGAAAACTATTTCTTGTATAAGCCTTATGCTGAAAATGTCTAAAACAACCCACTCAAAACGGTTTTAATACCTTTGTAAATCTAAAAATATATAAAATATAATGGGGCTTTCGAGTATAAATAATATTATTAACTTTAAACCATTACATCTTAAAGCATGATTTTTTTTAAATCCAAGCATGATCTTTAAATCATAATTTTCAAAATGTTGGAGAAGTGTTTTTTTTCCCTAAAATGCAGGAGAAAAGAAATATTCAGTTAAATAAAAGCATTAACATGCATTATTTGATAGAATGATATTTTACCTACTGATCTAATATGAAAAAATTTAAAATGTTATTAAAAATATTTATGGCCAGTTTGGGTATTCATGCGATCTAAAATATTTAGATCGCATGAATACCCAAACTGTGCGATGTACTCTGCCCAAAACAATTAAAGAATATTGTATAAAATAACTGTATATGCCAATTTTGTGTACTGAAGAAAATAGTCACAAATCGAAATTTTTCTTATTTTCTAACTTTGCAGTATACAAATTTTGAGTTTTCGAAGAGGACGCTTTAGCGGCAGCTAATTTGATTTGATTTTCATGTAAGACAAAGCTGAAAGGAATGATCGACCTTCAGTAAGCACTTTCTTTCGATGAGTGTGATGTCTCTTCGAAATCATTTAACCGAATCGGAAGCTTGAAGAGTTGTTGGCAGGTTAGAGGGGGACAAAACACAAGCTGAAGTAGCAGAAGCCACTGGAGTTTTACAAAGTGTGATTTCCAGGATCTGGAACTGTTTTTTGGAGACTGGAAGATCAGGGCAAGGGCTTAGACATGCAACAACGCGCAATGAAGACAGCTATTTTACGCTAACGGCTCGGAGACATTGAAATATAAATACCCCTCTTTTACAACAACACATTCGTTCGACAACTGGCACCACAGTTTCGATATTAACTGTCACTCTGTAGATCTGTATGTTCCCGACAAATGTGTGTCACGTTAACAGCAAGGCACCGTTGTGCGCGCAGGAGGTGGGCTACTGTTGTTGTTGTTCATTTACGTCGCACTGGAGCTGCACAATGGGCTATGCCACGGTCTGGGAAACATCCCTGAGGATGATCTGAAAACATGCCATCACAATTTTGATGGATGGCACCCCCGCTTCGGTAGCCCTACGACCTGCACGCGAAGTCGAGCACTTTAGTGTAGAACAATTTAACGAGGACCGATACAGCACACCCTCGGTCCCTACATAGACTGACCGCAGCCAACGATGCTTGACTCCAGAAGTAGGCTACTGAGCACGTGAACTGTGGAGGAAAAATGAATGGTTCAAATCAAGTTATTCGAATAAAATGCTCGAAATTACAATTCGAATGAAGAGAATCAGATCACTGATGCATCTTCCAATTTACTAATACTGCAGTACCATGACCTGTTCCACCTGGTTTGAACTTAAAGAAATGACAAGATCTGGTTCGTCATCCCGATGACGTCAACACTGACATTTGTGTATCTATATTACTATTTCCTTTATTCTCATCTTTCTTTTAAAGGTACAAACCTAAAGACAGGGGCGGATCCAGAAATTTTTCCTGGGGAGGGTCATAGACTCAGATCCCCACCCACACACAACTAATTTTTTTTATAAAAAAATTTGTTTTTTTTTTGAAGAAAAAAAAATGGGGTTTTTAATGCTAGTTTTCTCATTTATTTTTTTCATAATGAACAATAGAACAATACATAAATAATTCAATTATTCAAAATCTTTAAATAATAAATGTAATGCGTTTTTTAGGTTTGGTTAAACCAGACGATGAAACTATGACGAATTTCGTTTTAATCTTTTGGATTATGATTCTTGAAACAGTGAAGAACATAATTAGATGGAGAAAAATCGATTTTTCCGACCTACCTAGGTGTATATGCCCCTTAAATAATTTTTTAAATATTTAATTTCTTTTGTGAACTATTAAAAAAATTTATTTTTTCAATTCTAAATGCCAACTGTCCCGCAGTGGACTGATCGTTAAGACACGGTTCCCAGCAGATCACTGGCTATGGTCAGTGTGGGGGTGGGTGACCACTTGGATCAGCCTGCGTAGGGACCGAGGGTGTGCGGTATTGGTCCTCGTTAAACTGTTCTACCGTAAAGTGCTCGACTTCGCGTGCAGGTCGTCGGGCTACCGAAGCGGGGGTGCCATCCCCTCCGCAGAGGATCAAAATTGTGATGGCATGTCTTCGGATCATCCTCCGGGATGTTTCCCAGACCGTCGCCAATAGCCCATTGTGCAGCTCTAGTGCGACGTAAATGAACAACAACTAAATGCCATCTCGAAGAATTTAGCATCTCGAAGAATCTGAGCCTAACAGATATATGTGGTGCAGAGGCAAAACAAATCATCAAATGATTAGAATCAATAAAATCAGTTCATTTTGATTATTCGAATCAGTATCTCATTTTTATCAATTTCATTATCCAACCACTCACTGATTCGAATAAACAACTGATTTGAATCTGAATGAATAAATTATTCGAATCATCTCTTACTGATTCGAATCATTTATTCATTCGGATTCAAATGACTTGCTGATTCAAATCAATGAGAAGTTGGATAATAAAATTGATAAAAAATAAGATAAAAATTATTAATCTATTATAAAATTGACTTTAAATTGACTTTTTTTTTTACATTTTTTCTGCAGTATTGATATGCCTCAGCATCATTTTATTGTCTCCTAAAAAAGCTATCATAATTATTACTTGTATTTGCCTTTCTGCTCGGTGCGTTCACCAACCCGCGAATTGCTTTTGTAATTACTTTCAAATGACATTTTTGATACTAATATATTTAGTCTTACTTTTTTATGAATAGTGGAACATTTTTTATGAATAGTGGAACATATTTAGTTAGTAAATTCTAAGAAGGGGATTGATCGCAGACAGTAGACTCTGCATTAATTTAGATGACGTTAGAGAGTTTATTGTTTATTATTTCAATTGATTTACTTTTCTTTTTTCTATTGTTTATTATTTCAATTGATTTACTTTTCTTTTTTCTGTAAGTGCTGTTTCTAAAAAAAATGACTTGTACTTTTCATCTTTAATTCTTTATATTGGCGATGGTAATGGGCCACAGGATGCGTAGAGCAGAACTCTATACATATGGCAACACTTCGTATGCTTTCACCATTAGCGTGTGGCGAATTATAGGAGAAGGAAATACGTTAATTTTTGTCTTCATTTTCAAATAAATTATAAACTTTTAAGTTAGGAAACTATATGGAAATGAAAACTACATTGAACATAGTTCTAAAAGAAAGCGTCGAGGGAATTTTAAAAAATGTTTTTGGCAATTAAATTCGAAAAATATTAAGAAAAGGGAAAATATCGTCAAACATTCCTATACAACTGAGAAGAGGAGATGGAACAGTCAAGCCTTAGAATCGGTCTTCTCCCCAGATGGCGTATTATACTTTTGCCTTCGATTGTTCTAATATTACATTTTATATTCAAAAATATTTACGTTTATATCTGTACTAGTTTTGTGATTATGCAATTCATATTTTTTTTAAAATCAAAATTGGTACATAAAACAAATTACAGTGAAACACTCGGTTTGCGCTAAAATAACGCCGTGAGAGGATCGAATTTTAATCAAGTGACTCATCACTGATTCGAATCAAATAATTTGTACCAATAATTTGTATCAAATGATTCGGATCAATGATTCGAATCAAGTGATTTGGATTATTGATTCAAATCAAGTGATTCAAATGAGTGATTGTTATGAAGTGATTCAGAGCACTGATTTGAATCATATGATTCTGAAACCTGATTTGAATCATATGATTCTGAAACCTGATTTGAATCATATGGTTTGAATTTCTGATTCTTATTCTGATTTGGATCACTAATTAGAATCAAGTGATTCGGATCACAATTCAAATCAGAAGTATGATCAGAATCATGAGCTATGGATCAATGATTCGAAAATCTGATTCAATTCATGTGATTTATGTCACTATTCGAATCCGATTCTTATCAGCGATTCGAATCACGCAATTTTGATCAGTATTCGAATCAAGTGATTCAGATCAGTGATTCAAATCACTGATTCATCATGTGATTTTAATAACTGATTAATAAGAAGTGACTCGGATGACTTATTCGAATCCTGCTGTTCGGATATACTGATTGGAATCACGTGATTTGAATGACTGATTTTTATGAAGTGTTTCGAATCGTGATATTCGGATCACTTCATTCGTCAGACAATCACAGACTGCAATCGTTTCATCTTTCGTAAACTTCATCCTATTTTTCACTCAATAATAAGCGAGCTATAAGCAAAATACTGCAGAGAGCTCCAAACCTGCCCGTTAGTCTACATCATCAACATTAGTGGTTGTCATGGTGATAATGTTTATTTCTTTCTCCGACTACAAAGATGTCGTTCAAGGATCTTCGATGTTTTACTGAAATGATGAGAGCCCTTGGGTATCCTAGACTTATTTCTTTGGAAAACTTTCGCTATCCGAACTTTACTTTAGTAGCTGAGATTCTGCAGTGGCTTGTTAAAAGATATGACCCTAACGCAGAGTTGCCGGATGACGTAGACACGGAACAGGACAGAGTTATATTCATCAAATCAATCGTTCAATTTATGGCTGTGAAAGCTTACATTAAGCTTAATGCTAAAAAACTTTATATGTCAGATGGTTATGCTGTGAAGGAATTATTAAAGATTACTTCTCTTTTGTACGAAGCGATGAAAACTAAAACGGAAAATGATCTCGAGTCTATTGACGAAGATTCTCACATGCATCATAGTTTCGATATTTCGTCTAAGTCAAATGACTTGAAAGTTACCCGCCATCTAGCGTCCGAAATAACTGTTAAAGGTGCCACACTATACGATTTATTGTTGAAAGAAATGGATTTGCGCGACAAACGATCTGTCGTTTTGTCCAAACAGTTGGACATAACAGAAATTGAACAGGGAATAAAAAACGCCACCAAGAGCCTGGAGGAAGAAATAGAAAAGACAAATACTATGATCGAGAACATAGCAGCTGATGAAGCTAATTTGGAGGCTAAAATTGAAAAGAGGAAAATGGATTTAGAACGAAATCAGAAACGACTTCAAACTCTGAAGTCAGTCAGACCTGCCTTCATGGATGAGTATGAGCGCTTAGAATTGGAATTGGAGGATCTTTACAAGACGTATGTCATGAAGTTTACCTGGCTCGCTTATCTGGAACAACAGCTCGAAGAACTCGAAAGACTAGAACAAGAGCTCGTATTGCAACGGGAAGAAGTTACAAAACGCATGGTAGAGAAACTTCGCCAAGATGATTTGTTGAGAAGCGAGGAAAGTGGGAATCTGGACAATTTCTTGGTGGTGAATGATCCATCTGGAAATACACCGCGAGAGAAACCGAAGCGTCCTCAACCGGCACCGTCGGGTGTGAGGCGGGATCCCCATCGTCGTGTCTACGGGTCGATGAGTGGTGGGGACAAAGATGATGATTTAGATACTGACTCTGATTTAGACTTAGATGGTGAAGATGATGATGCGTCAGATGTAAGTGATGATCAAGATTTAGAAAATCTGTCTGATTTAAAAGTTGGAATTGTAGTGCCTCATGGTGATAGTGACAATGACTTTTGAGTTTGAAAAATAATTTGGAAATATTTACTGCGAATTTTCTGATGTAAAAGACTGAACTGTTGGACTTTTTAACAATTATCTAAGTTCACTATCATTAGAAGCTATTTTAAAAAACTGCAATTTTACTAGTATATAATGCTGTTTCAAGCATACACTATTTAAAGCAATAAATTCATTTTGATTTTTCACCTCTGAACTTATAAAAACGAGTTCTATGCATAATTAATAATTACTTTCTGAACATGTTTGTTAGACTATGTTTTTAGCTAAACTGAAAAGTTTGAACTTTGTACTGTAAAAGAAATTGTCATATAAAAATATTTATTTTTTATAATCAAAACAGACATTTTCTTAAATTTCTGATCGGTTAAATTTGTTGACGTGTCCTCTTGTGCATCTGTGCGGCCTTGTTTTCCTGCACTTCTACCAAACCCAAATAGAGGAAGATGGTGCAGATTTTGGCAAATTTCAGCAGTTGCAGACCTGCTCGTATTGCTATTGATTGCTTTATGAAATAAATTATTGTTTTTTATTTGATTTGCATCACTGATTTTGATTTACACACAATAGAATAACTATCATTTTTTATTATTTAATTTTAAACTTTAGCAATTATGTACCTTAAGAGGATCTTTTATGCAATTTTGAACCTGTAAGTAAATTTCTAAAAGTTTTCTAATTTTTTTGTTGGATTACTAAAATCTGTGTCATTTAAAATATTGAATTTATTATTGAAATATTTAAATCATTTGAAATACTCAATATGAAAATATTTCTCTACATAATTGCTAAATCGGTTGATGTATTTTTGTAGACAGTCAGAATTTTTGCATGCCTATGTTATTCCAGACACTCCCATATGCCATGAATAAAGGCATTTAATAATAGTTTAATAATTGGTGGGGAGTTAGGTGTCATGAGTTAGATACTAAGACACTTCATTATATAGGAATTATTGACATTACAATTAGACCCTTGTGCCCCCTCTTAATTGTTGTATCGGGCAGAGTGTGTTGCTGTTTAAAGCACAGTGAAATAACTAACATCAAGTCCATTTAAAATACTTATTAAAATGGCACAAAATAGTATGAAAACACAAAATAAAGAAGTAAATAAAATAATGTGCGGTTTATTCAAAATCCAAATGACAACACAGTAAGTGAAGGTGTATGTTTTTCGAGTTACGCTCGTAAGATGGCTCTCTAAGTATACCCAATGTGAGCTTTGGAGTTCATTTCCCTTTTTGTAATGATTAACCATCAATAATTTCAAGACATTTAAAATGTTTTGACTTTGTTAGTCCTTTAGTCAATATTCTAATTTGTCAATACAGGCAGGCTACGCACTGAAAGGGCACGTGGCAGATTACCCATACTTTAGCATGTGAACATCATCTATATGCATCATTGTGTAAAAGTATAGGAATTTGCCATCTCTATGGTACCTTTTTACCGCTTGCTTGCTCAGTGTGTGGTTTGACTAAAATTGACATGGTGATTTTTGAGAGATTATCTATCAAAATGGTTTCAAATATCTATATGTTCTGGTCAATTATGGTATAATAGTCTTTCAGATAGTATTAAAGCATCAGAATTATGAAATATAACAATATTACAAAATTTATTTAAATTTAGCTCTTTTAACAGTTTTTGCAAATGTACAGTTAAATTTCTGTTAACAACATATATTTAGAATCAGTTGAAAACAAAGCTACAGTTCTTTGCTTTTTAGATTCCCATAATATTAAACTATTATTAAATTTTTAAACTATTTTTAAAATATTTTTTAACTAAATTTTTGCCATTATTAAATTAAAACTTCTGTTAACGACATGCATTCAGATTCTGTTGAAAATAAAACTACAGTATTTAGATTCCTATGATATTAAACTATTATTAAGTTTAAAACGATAACCTTTAGAAGATGTTCTATTATCCTTAAAGTTAGCCGAATCAGTCTAACCTATTATTTGTTCATCATTAAACAATAGTACATAATTTTTAGCTTTATTTAGGTATTCAAAATTGTTTTTTTTTCAGTTATCCAATGTGCTCTATCAAAACATGTTAAGTATTGTCTTAGTTTACTCCTTAAGTAAACTAAGCAATATCAGATCTAATTTATTGGAATTACATACATTTGCATGCTTGTGTGCTCAATTTTAGGCTTATACGCCTTTGTCAAATGGAAAGACATGATAGCACGACGGTCACGAATATGCATCCAGGGTAACAGCAAGATGCATATTCGCTACCTCAACGCTTTGCACAGCATTCGCAGGAGATACCGCTCAACTAGAGACCTCTCAGATCTAGTACTAACTGCTAAATACGTTAAACCCTTAATTAGTTCTCAATAAGGTAAATTTGGGTTACAAGGATTCTTTAATTGAATGCTTACATCGATAGGAGACTAAGTTTATATTTTGCAATATGAAATCTTTATGACTTGATAAATTTTATCTGCCTTTTTTTCGAATTCTATCCCCTTTACAATGTTTTTACAAATTTATTGTGTTTGATGTCTAATTTTCTTTCAAGATGTTTCAGTAATTGCTTTGGGCTTCTGACCAATAATCATCAACATAGATAGTTTAAATAGTTGATTTGTCATTTTTCTAAATATGAAAACACTAGGATTAATGATATGATAACTAAATATGAAAACACTAGGGTCTGATATGGTATATTTAGCTCCAAATTTCAATATAATTTCTAACATATAAACAATCTCCTAAAGATTATTTTTAAGTCATTGAATAGCTGACCCAATTTTTGAGTTTATAACTACCAATGTTCAGCTCTGTAGCCTTGTAAGTTTGAAGCCAATCCAGAGGACAAGTGAACTTCTTTATCAAGTATTGGGAGAAATTCGCCTTTGTGGAGGACTTTTTGATGGAACTAACCCGCATTTGCATTAATGGAGAGGAAAATCTACCACGGTTAGTCTGACCTATGATCTGTTTACCATTGAGAATATTCTAAGTCAGCACGGTGGTTGATGCAAGCTGGTTGTGGAATTCATATTCACCAGCCATCACTGGGATCTGAACCCGGGTCACCTCATTGGGGGATGTGCGCTCTATCTTCTGAGCCCTCACAGTTCCCATATAAGAATTTGTTGAGTTTACATACCTTATCATGGTTTCTGTGTCAATTTGAAGTGAAACAGTTAGTGATTTTTTTTATAGCAAGTGAATCAAGTAGAATGTATTAATGTGATGAAAGTCAAATTATTATTGCTGAAATTTTTAAAAAAATTTAACAGATCTTACATTTTATGAGTTATTCATTAAACTACAGCTGTTATCATACCCACAAGATATTTTTTTTCTAACAAAATATATTTCCATCCATTTTTACAAGAAATTTTTCAACTAACCACATTAAAAATGATGAATCACGACAACTAAGTTCTTTGATTTTTAATGTTAGTGTATTTATTAATAAAATGCAATACACAAATCATTCAAAATACAATTTTATTTTTCATTTTAAAAAGACAAATATTTAGCTTCAGAAATAATGCTTTAATTAATAAAAAAAAAATCTCGTACAAATATTTCCGAAAATAGAAATAGGCACTTCATACGTCGTTATAAATTTCACCTTAAGAAATAACAGGTTAAAGCTATTCCATTTAAATATCTTAGAAACATGCATATCAATCAATAAGTGATATAAAAAGACTAGACATTTACTTAAGGACAAATGTACATTTATAGAAAAAACAAATTATCAGAAATATATTATTTTGAAACATAAACTTTATATGTTTATAAAACCTTTGAAAAGCACTTATCACAAATTATTTCCAATACATTTTCCGATGGAAATGATCGAAACAATTTTCTTTAAAATCAGTATAAATATCTGAATATTCATATACTTTTTCAAGTGTAACGTAAAATTAATTTTCGGTTAACAAATTCACAAGAAAGTGGTTTTTATATACTTAGAACAGAAATTAAATTTAAACAGCCATATTTGAAAAAAATTCTAAAATTTCATGATTATATATAATCCTATACAGGGTGCGTAGCCAAATCTTTCAATAAAAAATAAGTACTTTTTAAGCACTATATACTGAGCTTGCTTTGAAATAATTTTCAAAGACTTTACATGATCATGATAAAATAACTAGTTTTAGACAAAGAACTTTTTTCTTGATTACTTTAACCATTATAAAATGATCAAGAGATTTTTTGGTTCGATATCAGAGGGTGGAAAATGAAGCCTGAAATTGAGAATATCTTGTAAAATACAGCAGAGTTGCACATGCGAGTGCTATATTTTCACCGAAACCCAGCTCAGTAGACACACTTGCGGAATCCAAAGTATTTTATCAAACATGTAAAATGATTGGCGTTTTTACTCTATGGACCAAATGTAAAATAAAATGGTTTTTGGCCGAATAAATTGTTAAAACGTTGAATATAATAATGTGAAAAGCACGCTTTTGCATAATACGTAGCGAAAATCGACACAATAAAGAAAAAACTCTCATTTTCGAAAAGGGAAAATTAAGCACTTTTTAAAAACACCCAATAAAAAAAAGTACCTTTAAGGGCCTTTAAAAAACGAAAATAAGTACCTTTAAACACCTTTTAAAAACTCCACGCACCATGCTTATACCTATAGGTATGAGAATTCTTTACTTTTGAAAAAAAAAAAAAAAAACATTTCGAAGTTATTATACAGTTTGGAGAATTTAACCACTATTTTACTTCAGGATAATAAATATGAAATAAAATTGCAACATCAGATAATTAAATATTCAGAGTGGGTGGCAAAAGTATGTATAAGAAGCCCTTAAATATAAAAACCACTGAAGGGGACAAAAAAAAAAAAACTAGTAAAAACCTATATTTATAAAAATATAAAACCATATTTTAAATGTAAAAGGGAAAAATTTCCATTTCAAACAACGTATCCTTAATTATCTTCTTGAATGTGAAGAATATTTAAATTTTAAAAATATAAAATTTCATCATTAAATTTATTTGATATTTTCTTCATAAAAAATATTTAGCGGTTAAAAGAAATTAAATTTCACAAGAAAAACAAGAGCAATAGATTTAGAAACTTTACTACCCATCTTTACCCCCTCTGAGTATTTATAATTAAACATTGCAAAGAACTATTAAAAAGGTCCTTTTTAATAAATGATACATACAATACACAAGATACTATTCATGTAACAAAATAGCAAATAAAAATAAATGAATTAATAAGCACATTTCTTGAACAGTAAATAAATAAAATTCACACAATTTTAAAAAAAAAGAATGGTGCTTATGTAAGTACCACCCAAAGTGCAAACAATACCCTTAGCATGATTGATTTTTTTTTAAAGATCCCCCTTTTTAGGATTTTTCAGCAGAAATTTCACTCGGGGTTGTATTTGCTATGAGAGGCTGTCCATTATTTCCACTTTCTTCAGACAGGTCGCTACTATTGGTCCCACTAACTTTAGTCTAGAAAATTTAGATTTGAAACACTTATATGTTTGAAATATCAAATAAATTATACTTTTCTACATAACATTAGGAAATAAAATGTACAAAAAAATATTATCTCAGTATCTTGCCTTATTGTAGCAATTAATTGTTGTTTACTAAAACATAAATTAAATTTATTTTATACTAATTGTACTGATTATCTAACATATACTGCAAAAGGTGGTTAAAAATGTAAACATATATGATACTAAGAAATTATTTTCAAATTAAGGAATGCTATCTGTAATTAATAAATACAGCCGGACCCCGATTTAACGAACCTCTATTTAACTAATTTCGCAATTTAAAGAATTTTTTTTCAACCCCAGCAAAAACCTCTAATTAACGAATAATTAACCCCGAATTATTTCAGCATCCGGAAAAAAAAATTTTCATTAATTTTGATCAGAAAAATATTGCATTTTTTTGTAATTGGCAGATTCTAAAGGGAAAAAAATCTTTCCTGGGAGGAATAAAATAGAAAAAGTGCATATTCGTCTCAAACGAAAGAAAAGCCTGCAACAGGGAAAAACTAAATTCGTTGTGGGTAGGTGGACAGAGTCAATAAGATATTGCACTTGCAAGGTCATTTTCCGGGGGTTTGTCATGTGGACTTTGAGTCAAACAGGAAATTCCTTTCTTATCTTAGATAGTCGTTTATAACTAGTAATTTTTAATAATACATATGTACAAAAAACAATATTTTTTGAACCCCGATTTTACGAATGACCCCGATTTAACGAACAAAATTTCCGGTCCCGACGAATTCGTTAAATCGGGGTCCGACTGTATTTATTTATAAATATTACCACATGCTCCTTTAAAGGCCAGCTTTAGTTAAAACAATTTTTCAAGAAAATACATTTACATATGCAATTAAAAAATATAAAAAATAACAGTTTGGCTTAATCATTTTTACTTATAAGTGTATAAAAAAAGGAAGATATTACAAGGTATGGTATATCACAGTGATGGTATATCAGAGAATGGATATATTTTATCTGCAGTGATCATGACACCATAATTAGATAAACTATAATCACTATATACACTTAGTATGAGTGACCAACAATGGTCAAGGAATGTGCAAACAGAGGTTAACTTTTTTTTTTTGAATTGGCAATGATTTCTAACTTCAATTGGCCAGCGATGAATGAGGTTGTAATAATTCAGTTAAAATGGTGGGTTTAAGTTACTGTTAATTTCTTTATACTTACCTACATCAATTTAACTAACTATAAAATCAAAATATTTTACTCTCCCAATTATTAAAAATCATATACTTATAACATAATTTTTTAAATAATATGTTACATAATTACCAACTTATTACCTAACATTTTTATACTATATTAAACAATGAAATTTTATACGTTAAAACCGAAATTTTAAATGAAAAAGTCCAATAATTTGAATGAAAAGACAATTTTAAAGCTGACTGATTATTAAACTTTTTGTTTTTTAAATTTTAGCATTTAAAATTACATATTAGTCATAAAAAAATGTTTTGCTTATAATCATTATTATTTTACTGGCTGCAGTAATTCTAGAAATATAGAGTATCAAATGCGAAAACTTTCGATCACCTGTTTTTATATTGCCGCTAAACACACACCTGAAGGGTTAAAAACATTAATCCTGTAGACAAAAAGAGTAAACTTTTTCAGAGAAAGTAAGTTTTGTCCTATTTGGTAACTTAGTTGATAGTTTGAACTTAATAACTATTTGATTTAAAGAGTGCCATTGGAATCAATAAAATTGTATCTTAGTAAATGAAAGTTCAATCATTAGATCAAAAGTACTATAAAATGTTTCAAATTTTTTTAGCTGACTTTTGATTCATTTAAAAACTTATATTTGATATGTTTGACCTGTATTTGACATATTAAAATTTTTTTTTTATAGAAAATTTAACTTTTTAAATGTTTATAAAATTGCATTGCAGGAAACAATGTCTAAAAATTTAGATTCGGAATTTAAAAAAACAAATAACCAATCCTGTCAAAATTTTAAAATGTGCACTAATTTAACAAATATTTTATTAAATGCAAAAAATTACGGAGTTGTATTTTATAAAAAGGAAAAAGACTTTTTTTTTTAAACAACACATACATAAGTCACACAAAAGAGATCAAAGGCTATAATGACTCATTGGCATACAAACAATTTTGACATATCTAAAGATAAACAGAGGTTAAACATCAATATATAATAACAACACAATTTTGAAGACTACAGACACATTGAAATTCATTTATTAACTCCGACACCACAAACACATCTTATCACGCTCGGATATGGAGTAACAGAAGGTCCAATGAAGTTATTTATTTATTTACCTTGACATTTGTGTAAGCAGTGCCTACTTTTTCTTCAAGGGCTTTGAAAGTAGAAGATTGCCTGCAAAAATTACTCACTAATAAGATACATTGATATAAAATAATTATATCACACAAAAATAATGAAAAAGTATATAAGTTTTATAAAGGTTTAAAACATGAATAGACAGGCTGCGTCGCCAGATTTTTCAACAAAAAATAAGCACATTTTAAGTACTTTTTAAGGACTCAAAAAATGTTTTTAATCACTCCCCCCCCCCAAAAAAATCATAATTTGGATCTGTGCAGTAATAAAAAAATTTTTTTCTCTATCGTTTAAAGTTCCTAATTCATAAAAATAAAATTAACAAAATTCAAAAACTTTACATAATCATGATAAAATAACTAGTTTCTGATAAATATTGCAGAGAAAATTGTGAAAATCATGCATTTTTATTAATTTAGAACAACAATCGACACGGCAAAGAAAAAATCTCTTTTTAAAAGAAAGCGAAATTCAGCACTTTTTACAAACCCAGAATAAAAAAACATAAAACAAAAAATAAGCACCTTCAAGCACTTTTTAAAAATGTTATGCACCCTGATAGAGCAGTTATTGATGGCACATTAATTAAATAGTCTACTTGAGTTCAACCGACCCTGTACAAGGAGATATCGAAAATTAATAATGGGATTACGAAATTCTATTCTATAGAATCATATAATATATATAAGTTAAAAATATTGAGAGAACATGGAAAATATTAAAGATTAATGAAAAGAGAAGAAGGAAGAAAAATTATTGAAATAAAATATTTAAATAAAAGATTTATAAATATTTATTTTAATAATTGTTATTTTTCTCTTTTCATTAATGTTTATTATTTTCTATGGAAAAGGGAGTAGAGCCACAACCTCCTTGCGTGAGTCAGAAAGCTTAATGCAGTGGTGCGACAAAAGGCAACATTCAAATTCGTTATTTTAAAAGAATATGTTTTTAGGCAAAACAAATTATCTTTTCAATTCATTTAAAATTTAATGTTATTGTTGTTTAAAAGTCTTACACACAGTATTTACCACAAATAAAGGCAGGTAATAAAAAAAATTATTTGACACCCACTGTTTGTGGTTAACTTACTTTACTTCCTCCAACTTTTTGCTAACACTAGCTCCAATGGTTCCAAAGGCTTCAGATGTTTTTTCAGAGGCAGTTTTCAAAGTTTGGCTTGTCTTCTGGTATCTAAAAATAAAATTCATGTGTTCATTAGTTAAGCTAGGTTATTAGTTAAGCTAAGTTATTAAGTTCCCGCTAACTGTGGGATGTTTCCGTGGTTTTTCTCTGCATGTAACACAAATGCTGGTTAGTTCCATCAAAAAGTTCTCTACGAAGGCGAAGATGTTCCCAATACTTGATCTAGGAAGTCTCTCGCCTTCAGGATTGGTTTAAAAATTAACAAGGCCACGCAGTCAAACATTGGTAACGTAAAAAAAAAAATTGGGTTGGATGTTCAACGACGGTTATAAAATAAAATAAATCATGAGATCTTTTCATACAGCAAGCAAATCCTGGGGTAAAATTGCACTGGAAGAAGCTGGTTTTTGAATCAGAAAAGTCATAAAGTTCAGAAAAATTCTGGGACTACCATTCAGAGGGTTAATGATAATAATAAATAAACATATACAAAACATTAAAACTTCTTCTACTGTCATAAATTTCTATTACTATCTTAGTTATCTACCATCATACCTTTTAGCTACAAATTAGAAATAAATTTGTTTCAGTAATTATAAAGTTTTAACTTTAAAATTTAATAAAAGAAATATCAATGAAGTATATTAAAACAAAGTTAAGAAATAATGCAAATATAATAATAGAGATATTGATAACTCGTTCCCTTAAACACAAGGTAACATTCTGAGTAAGAAAATGATCTATGTAAATGTGTTTATTTCCTACTATTTTTGTATTTGATTCTGTCTTTTCAATCAAAACTGTTTTTACTTGAACTTTCTGTTTCTTAGAGGTCATTTTAGTTTCTTTTTAATACTATAACTTGCAGTTTGTGTGCTCAAACAATTGAAATCATAAGCTTTAGAGGTCATTCTAGTTTCTTTTCAATACTATAACTTGCAGTTCGTGTGCTCAAACAATTGAAATCATGAGCTTTGACATTTTATAACATATTTGATATTTCCACTTAATAAATATTATTCAGGTATAATATTTGAAAAAGAACTAATTTAAAAACAAGATTTGCAAAAGAGTTTGATGATTGAATTATATCTCTTTTCATTGGTATAAACTCCAGTTAATGGAATTTTAGATGTTTTTGATTAAATAATGTTTTTCGTTCATTACTTTTTTCAAGCATGAGTATTTTTTAAGCATGTAATTTTTGTGAATGAAATCTATTTAAATTGGCAATTTGCAAAATCAATACAATGGATTTAAGGAATTTTAAATATTTTACAGGGTTTCTTAGCTCAGTTTTTTGTCCAAAAAGAATTCAGTTTTCAGTTTTGTAAATATAATTTTGAAAAAGTTTAAAGAAAAGAAATTTTAAATAAAGGAATCAAAAAACAAATAATACACAATTAAAAAATACCCACATAACAAACATATTTGTAAATAAAAAGCAACATACGCAGTTGATTCTTGTAAGTTTTTTATTCCTTGTTCCATGTCATCCTTAAACTCTTTCCAAACCGTGATACCGAGTTCTCTCTTTAAGTCTTGCATACGTCGAATTCTAGATGAGAGTACTTGTCGCAAAGTGTTGATTTCCTCTTCAATCTAGAAAACAGAAATATTCCCTTTCATTTTTTCCCAATGAGTTTTCAATCTAAGTTGGTAGATAGGTAGGTATTTTATTTAGTACTAGAGCTACAGAATGGGCTGTTGGCGCTGGTCTGAGAAACATCCCCGAGGATGATCCGAATACATGCCATCACAATTTTGATCCTCTGCAGAGGATAGCTCCCCTGCTTCGGTAGACCGAAAACCGGAGCTTAAAGTCGAGCACATTAAGGTAGAACAGTTTCACAAAAACCAATACCTTTTCAATTTAAATCAGTTAAAATTATAAAAAATTTATGCACACTACAATATACAATTTACTAGTTCAGAAACAGGTATCTTTTGATGTTACATAAAAGGGGTAGTAAATAAGAAAATATTGTCAGTGGTTCTAAGGACTATAATTATTTTGTGGCATGTATATATTAGATTTTTTTTTTTAAAATTTTAAGAAAGAGAATTTAAATAAAAAATTACATTTTACAGAATGTGAAATGTTAGAATTATGATGAAATTATCTACTTTGATATAAAAACTCACAGAGTTAAACACGATATCAAAAACAAAATATCCCATTACATTGATTGCTGGTCTGAGTTTTTAAGTGGTTTTGAAAGGCCACAGTTAATTTTAAGCCCCTAATATTTGAAATGGGTCTTATTTAGTTTTTAAAAATAAATAAGGCTACAGCACTTAAACATATGATTTATTAACATTTTAACTATCAAATTAAATAATAAATTCAAAAGAAAATGCAATATAATTTTTTTCTATGAAAGAAACGAAGACATAAAAACAGGGCAAGATTAAAATTAACTGGCAATTGTACCTTAGCTAATTCACGGTGCTTTTCTTCGTAAGCCTTCGCTCTGGCTTCCGGATCCATCTGCGATAGATCATGCACTCCACTGTCTGGAGATGACATAGCGAATTCTCCTACTTCCTCTGAAGTATCATAAAATGTATCTGAAACAAGAACAATCTATATTAGTATAATTATGCAAATACAGACTACATAAGCAGGGTGCATAGCCAAATCTTTCAACAAAAATAAGCACCTTTTAAGAACTTTTTAAGCACTAAAAAAATATTTGAAAGCACTGTATACTTTAACAAAATGTAAAATTATTTTCAAAGACTTTATATGATCATGATAAAATAACTAGTTTCTGAAAAGAACTTTTTTCTTGATTATATTAGCCAACATAAAAAGATCAAGAGATTTTTTTGTTCGATTTCGGAGGATGGAAAATGAAGCCTGCAATTGCAAATATCTTACAAAATGCACACGAGAGTGCAAGAACCCAACCCAGTTGTTAATATTATTTCTCCATACTAATTATAATTTCTATAACTCAATAGATGGCGCTCTGCGCAGCAATGTAAAATCAGTTAGTTTCTAATCAGTTTCCTCCATGCCACTGTAGCATTATCATCATCCTTCTTGTTATTAAATATATTTTATGTTAAAAGGCGTTTGTAATGATTAAAACCCCGAGATCAGAGATCATATCACCGTATTTAAAACCAGTATACCCATATGAGGACTCTCAAGTATTTAATCAAACATGTAAAATGATTGGCATTTTCATACGTTATGAACCAACAGCATTCGGAAATGGATTGTCTGAATGAATTGTGAAAACGTTGAATAGAAAAATGTGAAAAGCAAGCTTTTGCATAATATGTGGCGAAAATCTACAAGGTAAAGAAGAAAAAAAATCTCATTTTCAACAAGAGAGAATTAAGCACTTTTTAAAAACACCCAATAAAAAAAGAGCCTCTTTAAGGGATTTTAAGAAACAAAAATAGGCACCTTTAAAAAACGCTATGCACTATGATAAGTAACAGAGCATGATACATTTTTTTTATCTACAATGATTTTTTTTTTTTAAAAATTGCTGTATAATTTTAAACCTTTTTGTTATTTTTAAGTGTTTGTGAAATTTAATACAGTAGGGAACCGATTATCCGGAACGATCGGGACCATCGCTATTCCGGATAACTGATTTTTCCGGTTTTCTGAATCGCTACAAAAAGCCGTTTTTTTATTGTTAAACCAAACTAAAAAATAAAATTTTTTGGAAATTATCTTAAAAAGAAGAAAAAACGATGAAGTAATACACTAATGATTATTTCCAAAATGATGGTAAGGTGAACATCTTTCAAAAAAGAAAGAAAAATCCTAAAAGCTCATGAAGAAAAAAAATTTTTTTTTTAAAAATGGTGGGAAAATTTATCGAATTTCGTTCCGGTTTTTTGGTTTTCCGGATAACGGGTTCTGTACTGTAATTATATGTGAGGTATAATTCTTCACCTATAAGAGAATGCTTCACTTTTCAAAGAGATCAAATCACTCCCGAATTCAAAACACAATTCTCAAACAATAAGTATTAAACCATTAAATGAGAAATTATTTTAGTTACTTAATAATTTATTTTAGGAACCAATCTCTATCAAATTTTTGTTTCCCTACTTCTTGTTTTAATCCATATGGAAATCTATCAATTCAATATTGCACTCTTTTGAAAACTGAACTAAAAGTGTTCCCTCTTCCAAAAGAGATAATACTAATGCCGTTGAGCACTGGCCATTTTTTCTCTCCAGACTCTCATAACGCTTTTGGTCAAGTTTATAAATAGAGATGTCTCCAGGCTGTGACACTTTAGCACTAGTATTTTCTACTCGAAATTCAGTATCGTTAAAGTGATTTAAATACTAAACAACCAACAAGAAGGCACTCAATGAAAGGTCGGACTAAATTTCATAAGGTTAGATAGCTAAGAAAAAGATCTACTGGTACTACAGTCAAACCCCGCTATAGTGAACACTGTTTATAGTGAACTCCCGGATATAGTGAAAGAAATGTTCGGTCCCGTGCCTTGCTATACCCGTATAATGTTATTTTTAGTGAACCAAAAAAATTGATGAAGTCGGATATAATGAACTTTTTTCTGTCTTCAACTGATTTTTTTCTTCATTTTTTTGTAATGATTTTGAAATTTCTACTTCAAAATAATTACATATACCGATTTTTAAAACTATCTATAGTGGGTAAGGTAGCGATAAGTATTTTTTTCTTGCATGCTTCTTTTATCTTACTTTTCCATCCCTAAACAAATCAAGTAGATGTTTCCAACCCAGGCAGATGATGTACCTGTAAGGTGTCAGTGAGATCAATATGCATTTTCTGTCAGAGGGAATGAGTAATTATTCATTATTGGTCAAAGAGTTGGACGCTAATATGTGTTGATAAGGCCCTCATTTCAACTCATTTTTGCTCTCAGTGCAGTTCAAAAAAATCCTGCTAACAAGTGTCTCAAATTTAACTATGGCGAGCAGTAAACGTAAAATGTTCTCCATTGATGATGAAATGAGCATAATCAGAAAAATTTAAAATGGGTGTAATCAAGCTGATATTTGCAGGAAATATAAACTATCCAAATCTACAGTTCGTAACATATGGAAAAATAGGCAATTAACAATTTCTGCTCATGAAAAAAATTTAAATGGCAGAAAAAATTTGAGAAAAGCAGATCACAAGGATGTTGAAGAAGCATTACTGAAGTGGTTCAGCATTCAAAGAAGCCGCAATCTTCCAGTATCTGAACAAATGCAGATGAATCGGCTAACCGATTTTATGAGATTACTTTTATGTGCTCGAATGGCAGGTTAGACAAGTTTAAAAAGTGGACCAACAGAAATTCAGGAAAAATTATCTGAGAGTCGGGAAGTGTTTCCATATCTGATGTTGAGGATTGTTCATCAGCTAAAGATTACTAATTTTTCTTTTTTTTTTTGTATGCAGGACGAAGAGTAATAAAAAATAACAAACTTTTTGCTACTACATAATATTTTTCAGTCATTTATTTGAATAAAGTTTAATAAAGGGAGGAATTTGGGAACCATCAGTTAAATTGCCTGCGTAACGGATATAGTGAACTCCCGGTTATAGTGAACCAAAATTTCGGTCCCTTGAAGGTTCACTATAGCGGGGTTTGACTGTATTAACAAAAAACTGGAATACTTGCTGGCAGATAAGTAATTTTGAAAAAATTCCTTGAGAAAGCCAATTTAAAATTACAAGGCTACGGAGTTGAGCATTAATAGCCGTAAACCTAAAATTGGATCAGCTGTTTAACGATGGTTATATATATGTAACATAATAAAGCTTCAATCAATCCTTTTATGTTATTCCTTTTCTGAATATCCCTTTCTTATTTAATTATTCAAAACGAAATGCTTTCTCACACTTCTAAATTCACATCCTGTCCTGTAATCTATTTTTGGCTCAAGTATGGATTCATTAAAAATAACGCATTTTCCCCTTTGCTCTTTGTGGTAATCGCGCGACCTATTTGATAAACCAATTACAATTATTAAGATTTCCCTTTCTCCCTAAATTGAAACATTTTACGGATTTACATTGCAAGATTTTCCCTAACTTATAATGAAGAGCACAACATTTCGTGACCACTTTTATAGCTGATCTCGGTCCAATAATTGATAAATAAATTTTGTACCCTCCTTCCCTGCCTAAGACCTGTTTCAATCCTTCCACTCGGCAACGACATTATAAGTCGTCAGGAAAAATGCCTTACTTTTAATATATGCATACTTCAGCCAAAAATAGATTAAAGGACAGGATGTGAATTTAAAAGTGTGAGAAAGCATTTCGTTTTGAATAATTAGATAAGAAAAGGATATTCAGAAAAGGATTAATTGAAGCTTTTTACGTTACATATACATATAGAAGAAGAAGAAAAGGAACATCCGGTGGCAGAACGGCATCTTTTTTCGCTTTAAAAAAATCATTAATAAATATTATTAATGATTTTTTTTTTGTATATATATATATAAGTATAAATAGTTTTATGTACATAAATAAATTTAGTCTCATTGAAAAATAATCACAACTTAGTTATGTTATTGGTATGAAGTAAAAGAAAACAAAACTATAAAAAAATATTTAAGATAATAAAGATAATTAGATATTAAGATAATTAGAAATATTTAAGATAAATAAAAAACTGAGTACTATTTAAAAAACTAAAGAGGTAAAGTTGAAAAAAAGAAATCGAAAAAAAAAATATCCTCAAACGTTAAAAAAGATATAATCTATAAAAATACAGTGCCATCACAAAAACGCCCATAAAAGAAGATTATATATATAAGGAAAACAGAAAAAATAAAAATCGATTTTAATTTTTGAAAGAAAATTTGTAAAAGAAAAAGTCGTTTTGAAAGAAAGAACTCAGTTTTCCACTTATCGAACTTTCAAAAAAAATTTGAAGAATGAAGTTTAATAGAAACCCTCTTAATTGCCAAGTCATAATAAAAAACTTTATAAAAGAAAAAACAAATGTTTAAAAAAAAAAAAAAACANAAAAAAAAAAAAAAAAAAAAAAAAAAAAAAAAACTAGATAGAAACCAAAAAAAAAAATTTTGACTTTAAAAATCTTAATTTTTTATTATTCACATTGTCATATGTTTAAAAAAAAATTGTCATATGTTTAAAAAAAACGATAAAAGAATAGAAAAAAATGAAAAAAAAAAAAATCTTAGAACGATAGAAAAAACAGAAAAAAATTTATGAATTTCTGAAATTTAACTTAACGTTGAAAATCACACTTCCCTGGATTAAACTGTTATCTGTCTTACCAAACAGGAAAAAAGTGACAATAAAATATTATGTCTATAAAAAACGCTCCGTTATAACGCTGCGCTGTAAATAAGAATAGAAAAACAGCAAAAACGAAACAAATTAAAAAAAAAAATCTCAATTCTTGAAGAAGAAAAAAGTGTTGAAAAAATGACGAAATAGACGCCCTTGATTATAATTTTTATAAAAAAATCAGCAGTACATAACTTATGGATCAAAATAAAGTAATCTAGTTTCAATTTTTCCAACTTACGCTTTTCCTTACGTCTTTAAGAACATAAATTAATAAATTTTAGAATTTGAC